CCACTCCAACGCGTTGAAATACAATACATATAGATATATACATAGTTATACGAAAAACCATTTCGGAGCATGAAGATATATCCTAAGAGACTCTAGCTTTCAAAACAGGGAATAGACTCGACAAATAGAGCTAAGCACGGACAACAGCTATACCAAGCATATACAGTTTACAATATGGGGAAACAGGCAGGGCAGATAAAGATAAGCACAACTAATATCCATAACCCAACATATACGATTCCCGACATAAATCCCAAAGTCACATCCCAAGACACTCATAACAGCAACTCACCCATATCTCATCACATAGCACACTTTGTTGGCGCCACAGGACCAATCGCATGCCCATACATGAGGGTCAGCGCATATAGCTCTGACACGGCCCCGCAGCACCCTACCCCGTATCGCAACACGGAGGGGTCGATCGCAACCGACCGATGAACCGCAGCTCATCATAGTTTGATCGCAACCAAACAGTGGACCGCAGCCCAAGAGTATGTCATCTGACCGCAGCCAGGAAATATGAACCGCAGCTCATGTAGAAACGTTTGATCGCAACCAAACGGTGGACCGCAGCCCGAGAGTGTAAATCTGACCGCAGCCAGCTTCTGAACCACAGCTCAGGAATAACCAATCCGATCGCAACCGGATTGGGGTATCATGCACACATAACACATAGCAAGCACATGCAACCCACATTAACACATTGGGAAGGGGGAGAAAACGTATAACAAAACCTATGCGTGATCCTTCACATACTAAGAATAATCCTAAGGGGTACATACTCCTTTTACCTAGGTCAACGGGATACCAATCCAACTAGCATGCAATATATAAGACTCATACAACCTACGAACGGTACCCGAAATATCAAACTAGACATAAGCACGATAGACGGAGTCCGTTGGGACACCACGGGGGTCGGGGGAACATCAAACGGGGAAGACAAAATCCCAAGGTGGGGTATTTTCCAGTGGGTAGCCGGTGGGTGAGGGTTCACCCGCCGGCTGCCCGCCGGTGGCGTAATTCCAGGCAGCTGCCCGCTGCCGGCGTTGCCCATGTTGGCCGTGGGTAGGTGGCGGGTCCCCTACCCCCACCCCCACCTACCCCCCACTGACTCTTTTTCACCAAAAACGCCCCGAGAACCTTTGTGGAACCCGAAACCATGCTTAGACACCTTCAAATGCAATTGACAACAATACGTAGACAATTAATGGATTCAAAACCAAAAACATACGACACATAACCTATCATGCTTTTCTAAACATAATCAACACCCAAACATACGAATTCCCATCCAATATACCAAGAACAATACCATACGAGTTCCACGATACAACCTAGGGTTCTAATTACTTTTAAATCAACAAGAACACAATTCATCTTCTAATGTCAAGATTCGGTAGGAATATCACATAAACATCAAGAACATCATATAATCATCAAGAACATCAAGAACATCATATAATCATCAAGAGCCTCTTAATACCATCAAGATCATCAAGATCACCCATGGAATCATAACACCAATTACCAAGATCAACATAATGAATCGTCAACACACAAGAATATGGGGGAAATCCTAAGAGGGGAATCATAGCTATGAAAATAGGTTTTGTTGAGACATGGGTTACCTCTTAGCCTTAATTAATTCCTTGGCTATGAAGGGTCTTTCTTTAAGCTTTCTTCTTTCTTGATTTCTCCTAGGGGAATTCTTGGAATTCTTGGTGTGGTGAGAGATTATTGTGGTGGGGGTTCTAGGTGCCTCCTATGTTCCCTATTTATATATCTAAGAGTATTACTTAGAGCCCAAATACTATAGGCTTGCTAACTCTATTCCTTTTAGGACTAGGGGTTGGGTTTAGAGATGCGGGCCCACGGACTATGGTGGGCCTTTTCTTAATTAATTACTGTAATTTAATTCTTTCTTTTGAGTAATTGGTTAAATGATTAATTGGTTTTAGGGATCGTAACACGGGGTGTTACACCTAATTTCCCTAACATCCACAAATTAATTACACCTCTTTAAACCACATAAAACCTAGAAAATAAATAATATCTATTTTCTAACCATAGAAAATTAGCAAAGTAGGCTATTGTTGCTCCAACCTCTAATTCAATTAATTTTTCGTGGATGTAGCTCAATGAAGCTGTCTGTAGCTGTCGCAAAAATTGATCAACCGTGGACTCCTTCATCGAATCAGATTGCGGACGAAATTCATCGCTGAGGTCGCAGAGGTCGCGGACGGAGTCTTCTTCGCTTTCTGCGCGCGGCTCTGAAATCAAAAAGAAAAGGGAAATATGTTTGATAGGATTTTGGGCTACTAAAACAATTAAATTATTTAATTGGGCCACCAGTTAAAATAAAAAGAAAATAATAAGCCCAAATTATTAACTAAGCCCAACTCTTATTAATATGAATATTAAGCCTAATTATTCAACTAATTACTATATTAATTCAAAATATAAAATAAAGTTTTAATTAAATATATTATTAAATAAATAAAATTAATTTATTATAAAAACTAATTTAATTAAATATAAAAATACTACTTATCAAAATTCCCCACACTAAATGATTTGTTTGTCCTCAAGCAAAGACATTATTTAAGAAAACTTAAATATATAAAAACTCATGACACTTCATGAAAATCGGTCTTAAACACATTATATATAACTAGCTAGCATTTTATTTGAAAATGGAGTGAACTAAATAACCAAGTCCTCACGAGAATATCACTCATAACGCACAAGTGTTTGAAGGGTGTGTATATTTCACTCAAATCAATTCCAATAGAAATGCTCTACCATAGGCTTGCATATCTTCTCATTCTCCACTACAAGATAACATGCATGATCAAATCATAAGGACTTTTTTCATGGTTGTAATGGGGCTAGGGTAAAGGGTAGGAAATATCTGGAAAAGTAGTTCAAGAAGCCTTCAAGACTAGAGGAACAAAGATTGAATGAACTAACTCAAATTAAGGCCAAATAAACCAAATCTCTTGTTATTTTGATAGTTCAACACTAACCAAATAAACTATCACATCCCATAAGAAACAATTCATAGTTTAGGGAAAATAATAATAATAACAAAAATAATAATAATTCTTTTTTCTTTCTTCTGTTCTGTTTCGTTTCTTTTTCTCTTTGCTTTTTTTTTTTTTTTTTTTTTTTTTTTTTTTTTTTTTTTTTTTTTTCTTTTTCTTTTGATTCTTTTGTATATTTTTTTGTTTGTGAAGAATCACAATTTCCATCACACGTTTCACCATCTTTAGTTTATAAACAATCTCAAATTGAAACAACTACATCAACTCACTTATCTTTTCTTTTTTGAAATACCAACCAAAAAAACTCATAGAAGTCCAATGACAAATTCATTATTCTCAATCATAGACACTTTGCCAACATCTTTCCCCACACTCAATTCTTATGCATTTATCCAATCAAAAATCCTCTAGTCCTTTATGCAAGGTTAAGGAAATCAATTTCAGGTATGAGGCTTATAATGTGGTTTCATAACAACAAAAATACCGTTAAAAAGGCTCAAAATGGCTACAAAGGATAAATCAATCATGGTATGAATAGGCTATTTGGCTAGTGAGGCTCAAAATCAAAGATGGCCTTAATCATATTAAAAATCATGCATGCATCAAATTAGCTTTAAAGAAAATCAAAGCAAGTTCTAGAGATACATATCTATGGAAGATATCACACAAGAACAAATTAATTAGACTGAAGTGTCAGTCAAAGGCTCAAAAATCTCACAGGTTCATGCTTGCTTAGTTTAGCCACCACCATATCAAACAAAATACTAAACTAAATAATCATAATATGCAAGACCAATTATTCAATTATGTTATGAATTTTAGTAAAAATACTATTTTTTTGAAAAATTTATTAGTAAAGTTTTTTTTTTTTTTTTTTTTTTTTTTTTTTTTTTGAAGGGAAGAAAGAATCAAATAATGAATAATACTTAAATCCCCTCCCCACACTTATTCTTAACATTGTCCCCAATGTTAAATAGAATGTAAAGATAAGAGGAAAATTAATAAAAATGCAAAACAAATAAAGGAAAGAATTGAATAAACTCCCCTTGGGTTGCCTCCCAAGCAGCGCCTTTCTTTAACGTCTTTGGCTAGACTCCATCCCCCTCCTAACACATCCTCAAATTTAGGATTTCTGTTCAACGCAACATTCAATTTGTCACCACCAATCAAACCAGAATTATCTTCCTGCAACAAAATATCCACAACAAAAACAGATGATATGCCATTCAAATGTTTCATGGAAGTATTAAATATATCAAATTTTATAATTTCACCATCAAACTCCATTGTTAATGTACCATCATGCACATCAATTTTTGATTTAGTTGTTTTTAGAAATGGCCTTCCCAATAATATTAGTGTTGAATCACAAGAATTATTATCTTCCTCCATATCAACTACATAGAAATCAGCAGGAAAAACTAAACCTTGCACTTGTACTAAAACATCTTCTAGAACACCCACAGGATACACATTAGATCTATCAGCAAGTTGAATAATTATACCCGTTTCTTTTAATGGACCAACATTTAGAGATGAATAAACAGACATGGGCATGACTTTAATTGAAGCTCCAAGATCTAACATTGCTCTTTCAATATTAACATTACCAATCTTGCAAGGGATAACAAACATACCTGGGTCTTTACACTTGGGAGGTAATTTTTTCTGAAGGATAGCTGAAACATTTTCCCCCATGCTTACCATTTCATTACCTTTCAACTTTCTTTTATTTGTGCACAACTCTTTGAGAAATTTAGCATACCGAGGAATTTGTTTAATAGCATCAAGTAAAGGAATATTTACCTCAACTTTCCGGAAGGTTTCAAGAATTTCTTTCTCTTCTTCATTCTTCTTGGACTTAGCCAATCTACTAGGAAAAGGCGGAGGAGTTACCATTGTCTTTGGATGCTCTCTAATAGGCTTTTGATCATCTTGAGGTTGATGGACTTATTTTTCCGTTTCCTCATCTCGATTTGGTGGTTTTCCCACATGAGTAGGTTCTAGCAACTCTTTTCCACTTCTCAATATAATTGCACTTACATTTTCCTTTGGGTTCACAACAGTTTGTGATGGCAATTTACCTCGAGACTCCAATCTACTCACGGTAGATGCTAGCTGGCTCATTTGACTTTCTAAGTGTTGAATACTTGTCCTTGTTTCTTGCTGAAATTGTTGTGTGTTAGTAGCAAGTGATTTAACAATATCTTCTAATGACATACCTGAATTAGAAGATGACTGTTGTGAAGATGAAGGTTGTTGAAATTGTAGGCGTGCTTTATAACTAAAATTAGGATGATCCCTCCATCCTGGGTTGTATGTATTTGAGTAGGGATCATAATTCCTTTGGGGTTGTCCCGGAAATCCTCCAACTGCATTTACATCATCACAAGAGTTGTATTGAAGCGTTGGGCACATGTCAGTTGGATGGCCAGTAACAGCACAAATTCCACAAGCTTTTACTTGTTGTACATTTCTTACAACTAACTGTTGAACAAGAGTAGTTAATTGAGATAATTTATTGTCAAGGGAAGAAATATTTACCTCATCCACTCTTCTTGGAGATGTGTCTTGTCTACATCCAAATTGTTGTGAATTAGCAACCATGATGGATATCAAATCTCTAGCTTCACGAGGAGTTTTGTTCACTATAGCACCTCCACTAGCTGCATCCATCATATTTCTTTGCATGGGCAGCAATCCTTCATAGAAGTATTGAATAAGGAGTTGTTCAGAAACTCCATGTTGGGGGAAACTTGCACACAGTTGCTTGAAGCGTTCCCAGTATTCGTGGAGGATCTCTACGTCTCTTTGCTTAATGCCACATATTTCTCTTCTAATGCTAGCTGCCCGTGAAGCTGGAAAAAACTTTTCATGAAATAGTCTTACCATATCCGCCCATGTGGTTATTGTGCTAGTAGGGAGGTAAAATAACCAATCCTTTGCTTTCTCGGTTAATGAAAATGGGAAAGCACGCAATTTAATTTTCTCCTCCGTCACTCCTTGTGGTTTGAAGCTCGAACACACCGCGTGGAACTCCTTTAAGTGCTTATATGGATTTTCATTTTCAAGTCCACGAAAAGTCGGAAGTAATTGAATCAAACCTGACGTTAATTCAAAACCAACCTCTAATGCAGGATGTTGAATACAAAGCGGTTGTTGATTCACATTTGGTGACGAAAGCTCCCGCAAGGTCCTTTGTTCTTCGGCCATTGCTTGCTCTACTTCGGGATTGCAACAAGAGGCAGTTGATTCAGTTGTGGTATTTGATTGAAGGGATGTTGATGAAAGGGCTTGATTTTTGCGCAACTTAGTTTCTTTTCTCAACCTTTTAGTAGTCTTCTCGATCTCAGGATCGTATTGCAATTCACATGTACGAGAAGAACATGGCATAAAAATAATCTATTTGACACCAATCCCCGGCAACGGCGCCAAAAATTTGATGGGTGTTGAATTCAACAAATAATAAAGTACTTACTCTTATTAATTGTAATAGTAATGAGTAAGGTTCTACCCACGGAGATTGGTTAGACTTATTTTAACAAAAGACTTAAACAAGAATGGGATGAGAATTGGAATTTAAATAGCAACAATAAGTTGACAAATAATATCAAATATAAAATAATAATAATAATAATAATAATAATAATAATAATAATAATAATAATAATAATAATAATAATAATAATAATAATAATAATAATCAATAGCAACTAGTATCCAACTCAAGGCATAATATCAATTTAATTCTAACAAGACAGATCATTGATTTCAAAGACAAAATTATTTTACTCTTTACCAAATTGATTATGGTTATTAACAAGCTCTAATAACCTATCTTTCCTTACTTTGTCGATAAACAAAACAAACACTTTGATTACTTCCCTAGCTAATAAACAACCCTAAACAAGCTCTTAGGATTTAATTTACTAACAGCATTAAAAGAATTAGAAAGACTACCAATTCTAGCCAACAGACTCGCAAGCTCGGTCCATTTAAACTAGACTATACATCTCCATAACATAAGATTGAAAATCTATTTTATAATCAACTATGTTATTTCACCACTAATGTTTAGAATACTTAAACAATTACGGATTCAAGCATTCTAAATGGCAATTTACTGAGTTGAAAATTGAATAACGGATCCTTTTTATACAATTAATCAAAGCGGTAATAGCAAGATAGTAGAAGACATATAAATAATAAGAAGTAAAGATTAAATAAGCTAGACAAATCTCACTGGTCTTGAAGAATCAAATATAAATAAGCCTTGAATTGGAAAATTAGAATTTAGCAGTACATTGCAGGGAGTGTTTACAGAGTAAATAAAATTGTTCTAAGAAAACTGACTGATTATCCTCTATTGAAAAATCAGCCATATTTATACTAATTCAGGCTCTAAAAAACAACCCTAATTTCCCTAACATCCACAAATTAATTACACCTCTTTAAACCACATAAAACCTAGAAAATAAATAATATCTATTTTCTAACCATAGAAAATTAGCAAAGTAGGCTATTGTTGCTCCAACCAATAATTCAATTAATTTTTCGTGGATGTAGCTCAATGAAGCCGTCTGCAGCTGCCGCAAAAATTGATCAACCGTGGACTCCTTCATCGAATCAGATTGCGGACGAAATTCATCGCTGAGGTCGCAGAGGTCACGGATGGAGTCTTCTTCGCTTTCTGCGCGCGGCTCTTTACTCTACGTACATATAACGCATAGAGCTTGAAATCAAAAAGAAAAGGGAAATATGTTTGATAGGATTTTGGGCTAGTAAAACAATTAAATTATTTAATTGGGCCACCAGTTAAAATAAAAAGAAAATAATAATCCCAAATTATTAACTAAGCCCAACTCTTATTAATATGAATATTAAGCCTAATTATTCAACTAATTACTATATTAGTTCAAAATATAAAATAAAGTTTTAATTAAATATATTATTAAATAAATAAAATTAATTTATTATAAAAACTAATTTAATTAAATATAAAAATACTACTTATCAGTCCTCTAGGTTAGCTTTGCAATTCTAACGTAGGGTGAAATGTCTTTATTGACCTTACTAAAATGAAGAGGTGTAAGGGAACAAGGGAACCACTCACAAAGCTTTAGGTACAACACTTTGAATTTTGGGTTGACTAGTCAATTTCTAGTCCCCGACTGTTGAATTTTCAGGAATTTAAGGAATTAAATTATCAATTGGATTAGGATTAATTACTTAATTAATCCATTAATTGAATTTGGATTACGGGGTGTCACATTGTTGGCTCTTGCCACACCTTGGACATATAAATTGTCCTCCGCCAGGCACGTTGCCCCATTTTGGCTGGCCTTGGTGTTGTTGGTTGCTGGCCCTTGGGTTGGGGATACTTTTCACCCTCTTGAAGCTGGGCCCCCACTCCCCTCACTACGCTTCCTTGCTTGGACTTGGGCTCCTCGTTGTAGTGTTTGGATTTAATAGAGGTCAGCTACACAGGCGTAGACCTCATTGAGGGTTCGTTGCCTACTCACGGTTAGGGCCTTTCTTGCCTCAAAGTTAAGTCCGCCCACGAATTTTGCCACTTTGGTTGCTTCTGTGGGCACTAGTTCTTGCGCGAAACGGGCCAGCTCTAGGAATATCTTGTGGTATTCCATTACTGAGGCGGTCCCCTATTTAGATGAAGGAATTCTTCGTACATGGCGGCTTTCACGTGTGCGAGGTAAAAGCGTTCTCGTAATTTTATCTTTAAGGATTCCCAGTTGAACCCTTCTTCCTGTCGGTGAGTGGGGCCTTCGTGGACCTACCATAAGTCGACCTCGTGTCCGAAGTAAAAGGAGGCTATCTCGACACGGCGATCTTCCAGACAATCCACTACATCGGAGATTTTGTCGAAAGTTCATATCCAATCTTCTAGGGTCGTAGGGTCCTCGTCTCCTGCGAAGATGGGTGGGAGATGGTTTGACACCAAGCGGCCCACGTCGAGGTTCCCATTGGTTGGTGGTCGACTATTGTTGTTGAGGATGGCGTTACTTAGTGTCTGGGTGATATGGGTCAGCTATTGCAGGTTTTTGAAGAGCGTGTCCTGCGTAGACGGTTCAGGGGTCCTCGCTTGAGTCCTTTGCGGTGCCATCCTTAGATTCTACAGGTTTTAATGTCGATTCCAAACACGTGTTAAGAATCTGTGCTCTTATTTTAGTGTAAGGTGCAAGGGCAAGGATAGGTGGGTGGAAAGGAGAACAGGAAGTGATAAATAAACCCACGAGCTCACCGCGCGTCCTAAGACTTCTGAGTCCTGAGTTCCTAATACCCTATAGTTCAAGCTTAATGTCCTAAAGTCATTTCCTAGATACTTTGAGTACTTAGAATCCAATCCTAACATCTTAAGGTCTTATCCTAAGGTCGTTGTCCTACGGTCGAACTTAGGCTCTGATACCAACTGTAGCATTTTAAAATTTTGAAACTTTTAAAACTTATATAATAAAGGCAAGTTCACTATAAATTCTCAAACAGAGCATAAACCAAGTACAATAGTCGGGGTGCTATACCACATCTGAATTAGAGAACTCAGATGCACATGCTGTACTATCTATCAAAACATAACTGTCACCAATATCTCAATTACAACCCAAGGCACGCAGGCCACTTCATTAAAACTACTACTATCTAACTAGATCCACGAATCCATCTAGCGCGCTCCAAAGCTAAGCATCTGCACCTGAAAGCCAAATAATATCTGTTCCGCGAATAATGCTGGTAACCCACTCTCACCCGTTGAGTACAATGTAGGTAGATATAAGGAAAACCATTTTGTAACCGGAATACATATATAATCCTGGGGAACTCCAATTTAAATCCAAGAACAAGACTCAACAAGCGATAGCCGATACAATCAACATAATTAAACATAAAGATTCTAGCATGCATCCTAAGGTCACAAGACTACACAATACCATGCTTAATCAACATAAACAACACCAACACTCAAGTATCATCATAGTCAAACAATCAACGACAAGACACGCATTCGTGCCCACACATCTGATAGCGCCGCAGAACCATTCACATGACCCGAACCTTGAGTTCCATTGCAACGGGGTCAGTGCATATAGCTCTGACATGGCCTCGCAGCACTTAGCTTGTACCGCAGCACAAGAAAGACGCAGAGTGTCAACCACCAATCGATTGATCGCAACCAATCCATGAACCGCAGCTCATTTTCACCACATTCGTTTGATCGCAACCAAACCATGGACCGCAGCCCATCATCATTACAACGATTAATCGCAACCAATCCATGAATCGTAGCTCATGCTCATCATACTCGTTTGATCGCAACCAAACTATGGACTGCAGCCCATCATCACTACAGCCGATTGATCGCAACCAATCAGACTGTCATCAACCAAGCAACATGCACACACGACATAGAGGCCAACAGCAATCAACTCACATTAGCACATAACAAGGGGAATCATCCAGGGAACACACAACCCAACGTGACTCATCAACAGCGACTGACAATGACTCAACCACGAGACTCATACGGGATCATACAAACTTCCTCCTACGCCAACGAGATACCAACTCATCTCACATGCAATACTCAAGACTCTTACATACTAAGAACGGTACTCGAGATATCAAACTAGACTCACAAACACCAACGGGGTAAGGGGAAACACAAGACGAGACCAAACGGCATCACGCCTGTCATATTCTAGCGGGTGCCCGGCGGGGGAAGCTTCACCCGCCGGTGGCGAGGAGATTTGTTTATCAAGATAGCCAAATAAACACAATAGGATCAATCAATCACAATTATCAAGAATATCAAGATTAGCAATTAAATCATCACAAGAACCCTAGATAAAGCTCTATCACGACTCGGTCACAGAATCGCATAAATATTATATAACAAGGAAAATAGGTTTTGTAAGACATGTGTTACCTCTTAGCCTTAATTAATCCTCCCTTGGCTACTAAGGTTCTTCTCAAGATTTTCCTTCGATTGATCACCCAAGGCTTGGTGAGGGGAAATTCCCTGGCTAGGTTTCTTGGGTATAATTTCGTGTGATATAATTATGGGTGATGAGGGGTTCTAATTGTCTTCTAGTTCCCTATTTATAAGGTTAAGGGGGTGTTTGGTTGGCTTGAATTGCGTTGGAATTGAATTGCAATTCAATGAAATGATAAACTACATTGTTTGGTTGGAGGGAATTGCAATTCCCTCAATTCATTGAATTGCAATTCATAGCCCCCCCCCCCCCCCCCCTATGAATTGCAATTCAATGAATTCATCCAAAGGGAAAGGGAAGGAAAAGACATATTTGTCCTTGAATGTTATTGTTAAAATTATTACACAAAGGGTATTTTAGTCTTTATATCACTTCTCCTATTTTCATTATTCCTCCCTACCAAACAATGTAATTGTAATTCCTACTTTATTCCCACCTTATTCTTTTCCCACCGAATTACAATTCCTTTCCCCCTTAATTCCTTCCTTCCAACCAAATGCCTTGTAAGGGTCCTAACTAGAGTTTAAATAGTAAAAGATCTACTTTCTTTAATCCTAATTGGTTTATGACTTTTAATTTGGATATGGGTCCACGGTCCATGGTGGACCACACTAACTATTCAGGGATTTTATCCCATTAAAACCCTTTTTAACTATTTTTGGCGGGATTAATTCATCAATTAATCCCGGGTTCGGTGTCGAAAATACGGGGTGTTACAGTATCAGCCATCCTCGTAGAGAAGAGGTGATCATCCTCGCGGCATGGACGCCTTTGCCTAAGCAGGCGGTATCAGCCATCCTCGTAGAGAGGAGGTGATCATCCTTGCGGCATGGCTGCCTTCGCCTGAGCAGGCGGTATCAGCCATGCTCATATAAAGGAGGTGATTGCATCTAGAGGGAGGCCCAATTGTCGAAATAATCTGAACTTTATTGTCAACCAACTGAAAAGAAATTCCCACGGAACTAATGGCTACTAGGTGCCTACAGCGAACTAATCTAAGGATAAAGACTGGGAAAAAAATGCAATTGTCCGGTGACTGGTCGAATTTCTTAAGATGGTGAGCATTCCACGTCCGCTCCACGGGTTCACCTTTTGTGGTTTCCAACTTGTAAATCCCCGGGTAGACTTCACTCACCACCCGGTATGGTCCTTCCCACTTGACCTCCATTTTTCCCCTTTCGGTGGGCTGACTGGCCGCTCTTTCTCTTAGCACAAGGTCCCCTACTTGGAGGTATCTGACTTTGGTTCTTTTATCCTGATAGTGCTTGACAACTTGCTTGTATTCGACCATCCGGGCATAGGCCACGTCTCGTCTTTCTTTTAAGAGATTCTTCTCAATCCGCAACGTTTCCTCATTGCTTTCATTATTGTATAATAAGACTCGTCGAATAGGCACTAAGAGTTCCGTTAGAACCTTTGCCTCGAATTCGTATGACAAGGCAAAGGGGGTTTTGGCTGTGGCCCTTCGCGCGGTTGTCCGGTAAGCCCATAATACCTTTTCTAACTGTTCGACCCATGTGCCGCCTAACTCCTCCAACTTCTTTCGCAGCCCGTCCAAGAGGGTGCTATTCAGGTTCTCGATCTTTCTGTTGGCCTGGGGGTAGGCTACGGATACCTTAATGTGCCGCATACCGTTCTGCACGCAGAAGGCCGTGAAGGTCCGGTTATCAAACTGTCGTCCGTTGTCCGTTGTCTGTTACCAGCTGCTCGGGTAGCCCGAATCTGCATATGATGTTTTTCCAAACGAAACGGCGGCACTGATACTCGGTGATAGTTGCCAAGGGCTTTGCCTCTGCCCACTTAGTGAGGTAGTCCACGACCGCTATACAGAAACACACTCACCCGGGTGCTTGGGGGAGCGGCCCAAGTAGGTCGATGCCCCATTTCGCAAATGGGATTGCAGTGGTGATCGGGGTATAGAAGGTTGCTGGTCGGGTGCCCTTTCTAGAGAACGCTTGGCACACGGAGAATCTTAGCACTTCTTCAACGCAATCTTTTACCATCCTGGCCAGAGTGTTGGCCCCCTGATGGGCCGCGCAGATCCCTCGATGGGCGGCGGCCATCACGGTCTTAGTTTCCTCGGGAGGTAGGCAGCGCAATAGCGGCCCCCCGTAGGACTGTTTATAGAGCAACCCGTCCACCAACTCGTAGGAAGGAGCCCTCCTCCTAATGCGATCAACATCTTCCTTTTTGCTAGGCAACTTTGCTTTCTGTTTGTATCTGACCATGTCCGCAAGTATGGCCATTCGGAGGAGTTCTCACGACCGGGCGGGGAATTGGACACCCGGACAACTGTGCAAACCGAGAGCACTTCAGTGGTTGGTCGTTCTATAACCTCGGTGCGACAAGCCATCGACAGGTGTGGGGGTACACTTCCTAGAGCCAACTTCGGCAGACATGCAGATCCCTCGATGGGCAGCGGCCATCACGGTCTTAGTTTCCTCGGGAGGTAGGCAGCGCAATAGCGGCCCCCCGTAGGACTGTTTATAGAGCAACCCGTCCACCAACTCGTAGGAAGGAGCCCTCCTCCTAATGCGATCAACATCTTCCTTTTTGCTAGGCAACTTTGCTTTCTGTTTGTATCTGACCATGTCCGCAAGCATGGCCATTCGGAGGAGTTCTCACGACCGGGCGGGGAATTAGACACCCGGACAACTGTGCAAACCGAGAGCACTTCAGTGGTTGGTCGTTCTATAACCTCGGTGCGACAAGCCATCGACAGGTGTGGGGGTACACTTCCTAGAGCCAACTTCAGCAGACATGCAGATCCCTCGATGGGCGGCGGCCATCACGGTCTTAGTTTCCTCGGGAGGTAGGCAGCGCAATAGCGGCCCCCCGTAGGACTGTTTATAGAGCAACCCATCCACCAACTCGTAGGAAGGAGCCCTCCTCCTAATGCGATCAACATCTTCCTTTTTGCTAGGCAACTTTGCTTTCTGTTTGTATCTAACCATGTCCGCAAGCATGGCCATTCGGAGGAGTTCTCACGACCGGGCGGGGAATTGGACACCCGGACAACTGTGCAAACCTAGAGCACTTCAGTGGTTGATCGTTCTATAACCTCGGTGCGACAAGCCATCGACAGGTGTGGGGGTACACTTCCTAGAGCCAACTTCGACAGAATGTCTGCCTCCGCATTTTTTGCTCGCAGGATGTGAGTAATCTCATAAGCTTCCAATTTATCTAGCAACCCCTCAGCCATGTCCTTATAGAGTACTAGCCTTTCTTCCCTGGTTACACATTCGTTCTTCAACTCGTTGACCACCAAGCGGGAATTCGTCCTTATGCGTACCCGGGCGGCATGAAGGGCGATGACCAATTGTATCCCCCCCGATGACCGCATCATACTCTACCTCATTGTTCGAAGTCTGGAAGTTGTATCTCAAGGCGTAATATAAGCGGAATCCTTCGGGGATGGTGATCATAACCCTGCCCCTGTAGTGCCTGGAGCCGGCTGCATTGTCAGTGTGTATTTCCCACCATTCCGCCGCCTCTGGGCCTTCGACCAACGAGCCCTCCACCGGGTAGGCGGAGCATTCTACTATGAAATCGGCTAGGGCCTAAGCCTTGATGGATGGTCGCGGTGCGTATTCGATCCCGTATTGGGTGAGCTCCATCGCCCACTTGAGCAGTCATCCAGACGAAGCTGGACTACGCAGCATGCTAGCCAGAGGCAAGTCAGTCAACACCCGGGCCGTATGGGCTTGAAAGTAAGGTACCAACTTCTTGACCGTTGTGACCAGGGCGAAAGCTACTTTCTCGAGAGGGGAATAGTTGATCTCCGCACCCTTCAGAGTCTGCCTAATGTAGTAGACTGGCAATTATGTCTTCTCCTCTTCCCGTATTAGCACAGCTCCGACCGCCTTATGGGAGGCAGCCAGGTATAACAACAATGTTTCTCCCACCTTGGGTTTCGATAGGAGGGGCAGAGCTAGGAGGTACTTCTTCAAGTTCTCAAAGGCTGCCTAACATTCTCCAGTCCACCAGAACCCGTCCTGCTTCTTCATAACTTCAAAGAAGGGGAGGGCCCTGTCGGCGAACTTAGACAAGAATCGGCTAAGGGCAGCCATCCGTCCTGTCAATCGCTGCATTTCTTTGAGACTGCTGGGCGGTTGCATATCCAGGATTGCCCGCACTTTCTCCAGATTCGGCTCGATTCCTCGCCGGGTGACCATGTATCCTGGAAAATTTCCTCATCGGACCGCGAACGCACACTTCTTGGGATTTAGCCTTAGGTTAAACTTCCTCATAATTTCAAAGCAATCCGTCAGGTCCTTCACGTGGTCCGTCTCTTCTTTGCTTTTGACAAGCATGTCATCAACGTAGGCGGCCAAAGATCCGCCCATCATACCTTTGAATAATTGGGCTATCATCCGAGTGTAGGTGGCTCTAGCATTTTTGAGACCGAAAGGCATCACCTTGTAACAGTACACCCCGTCCGGGGTGATGAAGGCAGTCTTTTCTTGGTCTGACTCGTGCATGAGTATCTAATGGTACCCGCGGAAGGCGTCCATGAAGCTGAGCAAGGCGCAACCAGCTGTATCATCGACTAACTGGTCGATCCGGGGCAGAGGGAACGGATCCTTTGGACACGCCTTGTTGAGGTCGCTGTAGTCGACGCACATTCTCTATGCCGGCGGCTTGGGCACCAATACCACGTTGGCTAGTGTGACACCCCAAAAATCCAAATTCAATTCATGGATTAGTTGAGTAATTAATCCTATTTCAATTGAGGAATTATTTCCTAAAATCCTGAAATTTAATACTTGAGGACTAGTATTTGACTAGTCAACTCCAAAGTCAAGTTGTACCTTGAGCTTTGAAGAGAGTTCCCTTGTTCCTTACACTTTCTAATGTTAGTAAGGGCATTCTTGACCTTTCACCTAGTGTTAGTATTGTAACCTAACCTAGTAGACATCTTCATTCTACCCCTTACACTTTCTAAAATTTAACTCTACCTTCTCTCTAGAAAGGTGAGTAGCTGTTCGTCCAAGCTAAGTTGAGACCTTGCCAAGACTTCAAGAGTTACTTCCAAGATTCAACCTTTCACCTATTTGGGCATCTAGGAGGGTAAGATCTAAGTCTATCTTGTGCTTTTGGTTCCATCTTAGGTGTCTTTTTCTTAAAGGTAGGATCTTTATGATCTTTTGGTTTGTTCTTGAAGTGGGTTTGGAAAGTGAGCCTTGTGAGGACCTTGTTGAGGTGTAAAGTGAAGTCTTTTAATCTACAAGAGGTAACCCATGCTCTACAAAATCTATTTTGCTTACCTATATGTGATTTCTTGGATTCTACTTGTGTTTTGCTATGAAATGTGAGTGTTTATGCATTTGTCTTGTGAAAATGCATATCTAGAGCTTGTGTTTAGGGTTCTTGTGTGCCATTGCTTGGCATTTCCTATGATTCAAGTCATTTTGTTGTATTTGGTGAGATTTGGCATGTTTTGGACTTGAATTTGAGCTTGGAGTTGAAAATCCCTGAAGGGATTATTTTGGACACAAGGATGTACCCGCGGGCGGAACGACGGGCAGAGCCCTACCCGCCGCCCACCCGCAGGTACATTGGCCTCGTGGGTAGTGTACTCGCGGGCGGAACCACGGGTAGGGGCCTACCCGTGGGTCCACACGCGGGGAACACTTCGGTGTTGTGATGGGATTTGTTCCCCGTGATTCTTTTGACTCGGTATTTGATCTTTTGACTTCCCGATGTTCTTTTGTGGAACTATTTGAGTGTCTTCTTGATGTTTCGTATGTCTAGAACTATATGGTAGGTATCCATGTAGGACTTTGGTGTCTTTAATCGTGCTAAGTGTTCAACATTGTGTTTCGTTGAACCGTGGTGAGTCTTGTGTGTTCCTCGGAACTACCTTTGGTTTATCTGTTTGATAAGCATGCTAGTTTGGTGTCTAAATGCTAGCATGTGTGTTGTTTGTACCTTCCGATTGGTTGATGATAACTTGTGTTATTCATCGTTGTTGTTGTGGGCTGTGACCCATTCCTTGATTGAGTATGTTTCATATCTTCGTTGTGATCCGTTGATTGATTCCTGTTGAAGTGTGATGCGTGTGTGGCTTTACCTGGATTGCACGATTAGTGGTATGGGACACTACTCACCAAGGTATTGCAGCGGTCCTCGTGGTGGCCGTGACGTGATTATGGAGTTGTGACCTGTGTGTCAGGTTCATGTATTTTTCTTGGGAAGGCATGTGTCGCCCTGTGTGTGTACGATACCTTGTGTACTATGAAATTGGTGGTCTCGTTGGTGGTCGTTGGTGGGGGACGACGGTCCCGGAGGGAAAAGGTTGGACTAAGAAGTACAGGGGTCCTGGAGGTAATGGTTGGAAAGAAGAAACAAGGTTGGGGGTAGCCATAAGGTTGGAACCGGGCATTAGGCAGGCATATCAACTCGTGATGGGTGATGTCACGAGGCTATTGTAGCCGGTGTTGTGAGTTCTTCTCTTGTGACGTGTGTAGTCACAAAGGCATGTGTTGCCGGTTGTGTAAGTCTTGTTCTTTTGCGTTGTACTTGTCGGGTTTTGATCTATTGAGTGATGATAGATCATGCCTTGACTCTTTTGTGAGTCGTGTTGTTCTTGTGGTCTTGGGATGTGTTCCCGTGTTGTTTGTTGAGAGTGTTGAGTCTTATGTTGGCTTTGACTCTTGGTTTTACACTTATATATATGTATTACGTTTCGAAAATGGTTTTACAATTTATACCTTACTTATGTATGGTATTTCACATGTATTGGTGGGTTACCAGCATTATTCGCTGACCGGGAATCTTTGGCTTGCTCTCTTTCTGCCCAAGATCAAGACCAGGAAGAAGAATTTTCTTTTTTGCACCAAACTTTTGGCTTGCTACATGCTACTGGGCTCAGGGACTGCAGTCAGCCGTGTCATCCCATGTTTATTTGTGTTCTTTCAGGTGATGTCTAGACGAGCGCGATGTCTAGTACCCGAAAGAGTAGCTCTTTTCATTTGTCTTACGGCCTGTGAGTCGGTTTAGTTTTAGACTTGTGAGTTTTGGGATAGTTGTATACCATGCAGATTTGGCCGTAGCGTTTATCGTTGTTGGTAAACGTGGCATAACACCCCATGTTTTGGATTTATGTCTAATCAGTTACCTTTTCATCTTCCGTTGTGCTAGTGTTTGTTGTGATATCTGCATGTGTTAAGGCTTTTTGTATAGCATGTTTTGGGGGGTGTTACAGTTAGCCTGCCGGGGTATTTGA